CATTGAGTTGAGTCACTTGGCTGCCTTCCCGCTTTGTTGCTTCTCCCCTTGGGTTTTTTTTTTTTGTGTTTTGTTGAGTTTTTCCTGTGGGGCACGCGCACGCTCTGGCACTTCCTTGCGCCTTTTTGGCCACAGAAGTGGAACAAATGGTCGCAGGACGAGAAAATGCCCCGCGCTCACAGCTGCCTGCTTTGCATAACTTTGCCACTTTAAATCGCCCTGCTCCCAGTTTTCCCCTATCCCTGGAACCGTAGTAACCCGTGTTCCCACCATTCACAACGCCATCCTCGGCGGCATTTTCAATTTCATGGTTAATTGTTTTGCACGCGGCATTTGGTCCGAGTTCAACATCTCGGCATTCAGCAACGTCTGCGCTGCCTCGATGGCACATTAAGTTTCATAATTAGCACACCGAAATGAATGGAAACTTTTTGCGTGGCGAAAATACAAAAAGATTCGTATGGCAAAAAAGTGTCTCTCTGTTGGAAGGCAAATAAGCAACATATGGATGGAATCGTATTGAAGATGCATTGCCAGTACACAGAAAGAAACCTTACATAATGTTTATATTATTAAATATTTTATAACTTGTATAACTTATCCGATATCCGACGAACAGAGAAGAATTTGAGTTATAATAACTAGAACATATATTTATAAACCTTTTATCAAAATCCCACCTTCTCTTTGTTTTTACGTTAAATTTGCAATCACTTACCATAAAAAACTAAAGATCTAAGACAAAACTGGCACATAAATTTTTGGCAGCAGTGTAGGCGAGTGGCAAGTGCATTCCAGACCATACGATTCCATTCCATTCCGCAGACAACAGCCGCCAGTTGTTTCACTTACTCAACAATTTTACATTGGCCCCGGCAGCTGCAGACCGAGGAGCACTTTTATCTTTGACATTTACTAATGACAAATTTATTCACGCTGTCACTTGGTCGCCTGTTCCTCGGGCTCACTGTCACGTCCTCACTCCGGTTCTCCTGTTTCGAGGTTGCTCAATATTGGATCCCTTGTCTGAGGGTCCATCCTTTGTCCTCCTTTGTTATGAAACTAGACCAGGACTTGTCACAAAAAGCCGCAATTCAAGATTTGTTTGCTTTACTTTATTAGGAGACGTTTCTCCTTTTCCATTTTCCATCCACATTTAACATTAACATTTGCCATTGAAGTGGAGCTCTTTGATCTCTTTGGGCCAGGAATTGATTGATTGATCGACTGATGGATGGCTCCGACTGCTTGGAACAGTAGCCCATTCTCCAAGTAATTAATCAAGTTCATGTATATACAAATAAATGACATTAACGATTGCAGAAGATGTGAAAAACATAGGGAAAACGGAAAGTATTTTTGGTAATTGAATGCTCCACATATGGTACATAAATAAACAAGGAAATAAAACAAAAGATAAAATTAAATAATGAATGATTTATTGATTAGGGAAAACGGTCAAGTTCCGGTTGGTATAAGTACTAATTTTATTTTTGGAATTTTACATATTTTATTTAAATTTTTAGTGTTAGCAAAAAGATGATCTTAAAAAATGACTTCCACTGGCGATCCAATTAAATAACCAACAAAAGATTCAAAACCACATTCGCTTCACTGAACAATTAATATCCCAACGATTTCATTTTCTTGCCCACAATTATTTTAAGCTAAAAAAAAGAATTTCACAAAAGAAAAACTTCCGGAAATGCGCCCTTCTAGCAGCTCTTTAATAGATCAACTCCCAGGAGGCCCTCGACGCTGATTGGTTTGGAATCCATAGAGTGGGCCAATTATTTGCGTAGGCCTCTCGGTAGACATCGGAATCAGAAATCTCTTTATTCCTATATAGGAAGACAATGCCAAAAATCGTGGGAGCAGGGAAGGAAGTGAAGAGGCGCCTTCTGATGTGGCATTGTTATTGGAATAGCGACGTTCCCCCAACTCTCATTTCATCCTTCAAAATGAAATTGCGCGGAAGCATTTGCAGGCAGTTTATTGGCTTCATTGTGAACCCTTTCAACCAGGAACACACATATATATATATATATATATATATTTATATATCATTTTTCCCCTGATTAGCATGGGGCGTGTTCGAAGAGCAGCCATTCAAGCGGCAATAATTCGCTTCGCTTTGCATTGTTTAAATTTTACAAATTTATTGCGCACATCGAAATAATATATATATATATATATATATATGTTTATTCGCAAGCCAAATCGTAGCCATTTCATGTTTCGTGTCTGGCGAACATTAAAGCGAAAAACGAAATGAATTGCAAATTGGCCGAGTTGCAGGGACTTTAGCTGGGGCACATCCAAAAGAACAGACCATCCAAAGCCATCAAGATCGTTTCGGTTTCGTTGTTGAGTGCGAGAAGCTTAATGATCGCCCAGCGTTGATGATTTTCCAGAAAAGATAAATGACAGCGACCACCGAAATTGCCCGGAGGTTTATGCATATATACGAGTATATATCTGCATAATGAAAACAAACAATCATATTGGCACAACGTGTTCGAGATCAACGGAAACAAAAAGTAAGTTCAAGTATTAAAAAAGATGAGAGAGGCAGCGAATGAAGTTCAACATCGTGGGAAACAGCAAGTGTATGCTAAAAATTTTATATCTATTTTAAATTTGAAGATTTTCTGAAGAGTTTTTACATGTTAAGATCCAAAAGTCAGTACATTTTAAGGCGAAACAAGTTTTCTAACCAAAAACACTAAAATTCTTCTATGAATAACCCTTAACCCATCCCTTTAATAAGTCCCCCTTCTTGTAATCTTAGAATCCATCCAAAGAAGTACTTACCCTCTCTTAAGGACCTAAATGAATTCCTTTCATATACGAATTTCAATAGCAAGTCTCCTATCGTTAACTCCCCCATGCTAAAACCAATTAAATATGTATGAACCCAATTTGCCTTGCCATTCTGCCATGTTCCTGTTCCTTGTCCTTGGCCTAGGCCTAAGAATCTTGTAAGATATTTTTTAATCAAGCTCCAAGACACAACACCTTTCGCTTTCATTGCGCTTTTATATCGCCCAACGTAACGAGCAGATTGTGCCCGGCACGTTTCATCATTAGTCGGTGCAAATATTTGCATAATGTCCGGGCAATATTTGCCATTAGGACCAGCCGCTGGAGATTCAGCAAGAAGAAAAGAAATATCATTCGGGCGGCGGTAGCTTAAGGACCAGAAGCCTGACAAACTGCCGTCCATTGAGGGAGATAATCGCAGCTGCTGGGCTGACCATAAACAGCATTAGAACCACACTAAATTCCCGACTTTTAAGAGCGCGGGGTGGGTTGAAAAACGCTATGCTAATCATAGTAATTCGAGTCGGGAAATGTGTGACAGTTGTTGGTCTAATCCCCGCACAAATGTCACGAATCGTGCCCTCGGAACGCGATCTCGTTTGTCTTCCAGACCGAAATGCGAGTCAAAAAGGTGTCGGCAAGCCAAATGTAATAATTTTAATGATTTTTCATAAGTTGAAAAACGCGGAGGAGTGGGGCAGGGACACACACACACGCCACAACAATAGAACAGCGGGCGCAGCAGGCGGGAATCTTAGTTTAAAGGGTGGGAATTCGAATAAGAGATACCCTAGAGTTAGATTTTTAGATTAAAATAACAAGAATAATCATATATATAGATATATATCTAGGAAATTATTAAGCATTAAGATGAGGTTATGAGGTAAAACTTCCGTGTATCCCATATACCCAAACCTTCTAGGGTATCAAAAAAAAAAAAAAACACTTAAGGGTAGCGCTCCCCCAAACCATCTTAACCCTCTGTACCCCCCTCTAGCTCAACCAAGCCCATGCCACCTCCTTCGCCTGCTGTTGTGACATCGTTTTTTCCTGCTGCACCCCTTTTTCGGCTTATTTAACATGAAGACTTACACACCACTGAATGCATTGTTGGGATGTTATAATTGCGCATATTTTAAAATACAAATTAGCAACGCTGTAGCTGAATTTCAATAGCATCACTTGAATCTCGAATATGAAAATGCCCGCCGGCAGCAGTTCAGCAACATTTTTTTGGGAGTGTGCCTGACTTTAGGGTTCAGTCTGTGCCTCAGTCTGTCTCATACTCATTCTCAGTCGCAGTCACAGACTCAATTCCCCAACTCCGTTCCTGTCGCTGACATTGCCTTGAACCATGCATCAAGGCGTCAACAGTCAGCCTGTCCCTCAGTCTGCTGGTGTGGCATTCGTTTTGGCATTTCATGCATAAAACACCGAAAACCAACCAAACCAGACCAGAATCCACAGCTCACCCAAGTAGTTTGTCAAGTCATGCAGAGCGAAAAATCATTATCTATACAGATTTGCTTTAGAAAATGAAACTAAAGATAAATTTGCTTAAGTTTAACTAAATTTTTGTGACAACTTTAAGTCTTTTTAGTGGAAATTATGGAAAATATCTGAAATTATCCCTCAATTTCTTTCAGTGCATTCCTTTGAGTTTTTCTTTATTGTTTTCCTGTTTTCAGCTACCTGCGCATAAATAGTCCAAACACTTTTTGGGATTTTCCACATGGCACCAGGTTTTCAGAAGGGGGTTCTACATTTATCACTGCCAAAGTCGTCATGACATTGCCATTGCCATTCGTATTCGCATTTCCCCCGTAACCAGAACAAAGCTCTCGAGTGTAAATGGAATTTCTTGGAAAATGAAATTGCCAAGCAAAAGGGAAAGGGAAAACTATGAAAGTGCAGTCCATATGATTGCTGGATTTTTGTTTTTGAGTTATTGGTTTGGAATTGATGATATGAGTGTGTGGCTATGAGATGAAAAGGGTTCAATGGGAATGGTTTTTGGGGTTTAGTAAAGGCCAGTTGCAATCTCAAGCGAAATGCAAAACCTAACACTTTTGATCCAGTAGAGAATGTCAATGCTGACTTTAATTTTAAATCAGTAAATAGTTGTATTTATTTTGTGTTATGTATGTACATATGTATGTTAGTTTTTAAGTTGGCATTTAGCCAGTAGCAAGTTTCTTCTTGGCCATGAACTCTTCACGCGCTGCCTTCCGCAATGTTTTTCCATTTGCATTCGCTGGCAACTTTTCGGTGAACTGGACTCCGGCATGGAGATGTTTATGGCTTGCGGGCAGCTGTTTGGCCACGTGATTCACAATCTCCTTTGCAGTTATATTGGATCCGTGGCTGATCACAACCAAGGCTCCAGCCTCATCGCCCACTTTCTCATTATAAATGCCGACAACGCAAACATCTCGCACTTGAGGAAGCTCCGAAATAACTTCCTCGATCTCAGTGGTCCAGTACTGAAGACCCTGGTACTTGAGGACTTCCTTTTTCCGATCCACTATATACAAGAAGTTCTCACTGTCAAAGTAACCCATATCTCCCGTATGGAACCAACCCTCTGGGTCCTGGAAACTTCTGGTGGCTTCTTGACTTCCGTAATAACCATTCCAAGGTCGCCCTGTATGCGCATATATCTCTCCCACCTGATTGTGGGCCAGGTTATTCCCAACCTCGTCAACAATTCGTAACTTGACGTTATAAAAAGGTCTGCCAGCCGAGGAGAAGTTACTGTTTGTAAAATTCCTGGCCAAAATTCCGCACTCCGTTAATGCATAGGTCGATGTGATAATGGCCTTATTGAAAATCTTTTTGGCTCGCTCAAGTGTTGCCAAAGAAATATAACCTCCGGCGTAGGACAGCATCTGAACGGATTCCATAGCTTCCGATGTGACTTCAGGACAAGAGATCAAGGATGAAAGATGTTCCGGAGCCATGTATGCCACATTAATCTTATACTTCTTCACCAATCGGACAACGTTCTCGGCAGTATAGGGTTTTCTGCTTCGGATTTGGGTTGTGCCGGAAGTAATGCTTAAAACCAATGTCAATATACCCGTAGTCCAACTCAGAGTACTCGGTGTGTACAGCACTATCCCGACTCCCCTATCATCGTGAATTAGAAAATTAACCTTTGATATGGCAATGAGCTTCGGAAAGCCGGTAGTTCCAGACGAGCAAAGAATGGCCACAGTCTGTCTACAACCTTCTGCCAAAGGTTCAGGTCTACAAAAATACTGAATAAAGTACAGGAGTACAGAAGTAAAGGATCATAATACTCACTGGTACATTTCTTCAGTTCCTGTGGGTTCCAGTAGGACTTTAATGCTTGGCACTCCTAGAACTTTTCCGGTGATCGTGTAAATATCGGGCTGCCATCCTCTTGAAGCTGATTTTATTTTTTCGTAAACATTTTCATCACAGAAAATTATAGCAGGTTTGGTCTGTGATAAAAGTTCATTTGTGGTGGCTGCAATAAAAAGATATTGTTATTATTGCTTAAAATATTTGGTAAATTAAATAGTTACCTTCATCTAAAGACGGATTCATTGCTTGGAAGGGTGTTCCATTGAAAAAGCAGCCTATACCAAGGGGTGCCAGATATATACTGTTTGCAGCTATGATACCAATCACATCTTTATGGTTAAGACCTTTTCTCTTCAAAAACTGGGCAATTCGAATAGACCAGCGAAGAGTTTGCTCAAATGTTAGTGATATTCCGTCTTCATCGCATATCTAAAATTCAGAAATTTTGAACCTGAGTGTTTTCTTCTATATATTTGAACTCACCTGACTCATATTTTTAGCCCAATTCGGCATGGCCTTGAATATGATTGATCCCAAAGATGTATCATCGTCCATAATGGTGTTCTCTCCTTTGGGTCCACTCCAAGTCCTTTCCTTCTCATCGAATGTAGCTGTTAGTCCGGACATCTTCAAGAACAATGGATTTGATCACTTTTGCAGTAACTAGCAAACTGAACCGTTGGGCCAACTCATCTTGTATTTATAAGACTCCACGCCCTGATCAATATCATTTTATTTTTTAACTATGAGACCATAATAATGATCAATTGTTTATCTATCACCCGTGATTTAAAAATAAATAAGTGTTCAGATGATACATCAACGGTTAATTTTGTTCAAAGGTTATTTCTTGCCAATTTTACAATACCTTATAAAGATAACGAATCATATCTTGTTAAGATATCGTTTTTATCTGTGGAACTTTCTCTGCTCTATATATGTACATATTTATAATGTGCATGCAATTATTTTATTCTTGTCTTACAGTGCCCAAGAAAGCAAACCTGTCATAAAATTGATCACTTGTAAATCAATAAGAATAAATAGGAACATAGCTGTGGCAGTGGTTAATAAGAGCATACATAATTACGTACGTACAAGTCCCTAGACAGCGAAACGCTAGGAACGAAGAGATTCATCAAATAGCAACGAGTGACCATCTGGCGAATGTTGTGAAAGCCGACGGACAAGATTGGAATTTTAAATCAGTAAATAGTTATATTTATATTGTGTTATGTTAATTTTTAATTTTACATTTAACCACTTGTGAGTAGCTTTTTGGCAGTGAACTCTTCACGCGCTGCCTTCCGCAATGTTTTCCCATTTGGATTCGCTGGTATCTTTTCGGTGAACTGGACTCCAGCATGGAGTTGTTTCTGGATTGCGGGCAGCCGTTCGGCCACGTGATTCACAATCTCCTTTGCAGTTATATTGGATCCATGGCTGATCACAACCAAGGCTCCAGCCTCATCGCCCACTTTCTCATCATAAATGCCGACAACACAAACATCTCGCACTTGAGGAAGCTCCGAAATAACTTCCTCGATCTCAGTGGTCCAGTACTGCAGACCCTGGTACTTGAGGACTTCCTTTTTCCGATCCACTATATACAAGAAGTTCTCACTGTCAAAGTAACCCATATCTCCCGTATGGAACCAACCCTCTGAGTCCTGGAAACTCCTTGTGGCTTCTTGACTTCCGTAATAACCATTCCAAGGTCGCCCTGTATGCGCATATATCTCTCCCACCTGATTGTGGGCCAGGTTATTGCCAAACTCATCAACAATCCGGAACTTGACGTTATAAAACGGTGTGCCGGCCGAGGAGAAGTTACTGTTTGTAAAATTTTGTGCCAAAATTCCGCACTCTGTTAATGCATAGGTCGATGTGATTATGGCCTTATTGAAAATCGTTTTGGCTCGCTCCAGAGTGGCCAAGGAAACTGTACCTCCGGCGTAGGACAACACGCGAACGGATTCCATAGCTTCAGATGTGACATCAAGGCAAGAGATCAGGGATGCAATATGACGTGGCGCCAAATACGTCCAATTGACCTTGTACTTTTTCACCAGTTGGACAAAGTAATCGGGTGTAAAGGGCTTGCTGCTTCTGACTTGGGTAATGCCGGATAAAATGCATAAAACCATTGTCAAAAGACCTGTTAACCAATCCAGACTACTGTGCGTATAGAAAACCAATCCGACACTCAAATTAATAGGTCGTTCGAAAGTCCTTTTTGAAATGGCAATGAGCTTTGGAAAGCCTGTTGTCCCTGAAGAGCAAAGAATGGCCACAGTCTGTCCACAACCGTCTGCCAAAGGTTCTGGGCTACAAAAATACTGAATAGAGTACTAAAAACATATAGGATTATAATACTCACTGGTAGACATCTTCAGTTTCTGTGGTTTCCGCAAGAACTTCAATGCTTGGCACTCCTAGAACTTTTCCGGTGATCGTGTAGATTTCGGGGTGCCATTTACTCGAGGCTGACTTTACTTTCTCATAAACATTTTCATCACAAAATATTATGGGGGGCTTAGTCTTTGACAAAAGCTCGGCTGTGCTGGCTGCAAAATAAATCAATGCTATTATTGCGTATATTTTCGGAATTCATAATATAATACCTTCGTCTAAAGATGGATTCATCGCTTGGAAAGGTGTTCCATTAAAAAAACAAGCAATCCCAAGAGGGGACAAATAAATACTATTTGCAGCCATAATACCAATCACATCGTTATGGTTAAGACCTTTTCTCTTAAAAAACTGGGCAATTCGAGTAGACCAGAAAAGGGTTTGCTCAAAAGTTTGTCCATCGTCATCACATATCTAAAACTCCGAAATTATGATCTAGAAATATATATTATTTAAATTGGATCTCACCTGACACATATTTTTTGGCCAATTTTGCAAGGCATTGAATATGATATTTCCCAAAGACTTGTCAGCCTTAAAAATGGAGCTCTCTTCCTGGGGTCCACTCCAAATCTTTTCCTTTTCATCGTAAGTCGCCATATCTGTTAACAAATGATTTGCTCCCTTGAACAGTAAGAAGCCAACTGAACTAACTCGATCAAGCAGATTGTATTTAAAGCAATTCACGACCTTATCAAAAACTTAAACTCATAAAAGTTGTTTTTTTTTCACTCCAAAGCAGCATCAATAATGCCACCAGCTAATCCATAACACGTGTCTTTAAAGTAACTTTAGTGTTCAGGTGAGTACTTGTAAAGGTGTTTAGAGGTTAAAGATAAACAAAGCATATCTTTTAAAGATAATACTAATCTATGTGGCGGAATATTCTACATGAAACTAGTTCTACTCTTCTAATAATTTTTCCCAAATTAGTCGGGCTTTCGCAAAAGTAACAAGTACATAACCAGAAACACCCACAGACAGTCGAGGCGATATTTGTAAAAGGAGTTTTCAACAATGCATTAACTTCCTGCAGTTGCTGCATGGTCTGAAAGGGGTTCATTGACTGTTACTGTTGATGTTGTTAAAAATGGGACAGTTGGAATGGTTTTTTGACTTTGCTAAAGGGAAGGTCTCAAAAATAGTACTTGTTAAGCTTTATTTGTTTTGTGTTCTGATAAGTCTTAGGATTTCATTTAACCCTTCGTAAGCAGATTCTTGGCAATGAACTCTTCACGCGCTGCCTTCCGCAATGTTTTTCCATTAGCATTCGCTGGCAACTGTTCGGTGAACTGGACTCCAGCATGGAGTTGTTTCTGAATTGCCGGCAACCGTTTGGCCACGTGATTCACAATCTCCTTTGCAGTTATATTGGATCCATGGCTGATCACAACCAAGGCTCCAGCCTCATCGCCCACTTTCTCATCATAAATGCCGACAACACAAACATCTCGCACTTGAGGAAGCTCCGAAATAACTTCCTCGATCTCAGTGGTCCAGTACTGCAGACCCTGGTACTTGAGGACTTCCTTTTTCCGATCCACTATATACAAGAAGTTCTCACTGTCAAAATAACCCATATCTCCCGTATGGAACCAACCCTCTGAGTCCTGGAAACTCCTAGTGGCTTCTTGACTTCCGTAATAACCATTCCAAGGTCGCCCTGTATGCGCATATATCTCTCCCACCTGATTGTGGGCCAGGTTATGACCAATCTCGTCAACAACCCGGAACTTGACGTTATAAAAAGGTCTGCCAGCCGAGGAGAAGTTACTGTTTGTAAAATTCTGGGCTAAAATTCCGCACTCCGTTAAGGCATAGGTCGATGTGATTAGGGCCTTAGTGAAAATGTTTTTGGCTCGCTCCAGAGTGGCCAGGGAAACTGAACCTCCGGCGTAGGACAACACTCTAATGGATTCCATAGCTTCAGATGTGACTTCAGGGCAGGAGATCAGGGATGCAAGATGACGTGGTGCCAGGTATGTCACATTGATCTTGTATTTCCTCACCAATTTTACAAAGTTCTCTGGAGTATATGGTTTTCTGCTTCGGATTTGGGTAGTGCCGGAGGTAATGCTTGAAACCAATGCCAATATACCCGTATTCCAATCCAGACTGCTTGGTGTGTACATCACTATCCCGACTCCCCTATCATCGTGTATAAGAAAATTAACCTTTGAAATGGCAATGAGCTTTGGGAAGCCAGTAGTTCCAGACGAGCAAAGAAGGGCCACAGTCTGTCTACAACCTTCTGCCAAAGGTTCAGGTCTACAAAAATACTGAATAAAGTACAGGAGTACAGAACTAAAGGATTATAATACTCACTGGTACATTTCTTCAGTTCCTGTGGGTTCCAGTAGGACTTTAATGCTTGGCACTCCTAGAACTTTTCCGGTGATCGTGTAAATATCGGGCTGCCATTCTCTTGAAGCTGATTTTATTTTTTCGTAAACATTTTCATCACAGAAAATTATAGCAGGCTTGGTCTGTGATAAAAGCTTATTCGTGGTGGCTGCATTAAAAAGATTTGGTTATTATTGCTTAAAATATTTGGTAAATTAAATAGTTACCTTCATCTAAAGACGGATTCATTGCTTGGAAGGGTGTTCCATTGAAAAAGCAGCCTATACCAAGGGGTGCCAAATATGCGCTGTCTGCAGCTATGATACCAATCACATCCTTATGGTTAAGACCTTTTCTCTTCAAAAACTGGGCAATTCGAATAGACCAGCGAAGAGTTTGCTCAAATGTTAGTGATATTCCGTCTTCGTCGCATATCTAAAATTCAGAAATTTTGAACCTGAGTGGTTTTCTTCTTTATACTTGAACTCACCTGACTTATATTTTTAGGCCAATTCGGCATGGCCTTGAATATGATTGATCCCAAAGATATATCATCGTCCATAAGAGTGTTCTCTCCTTTGGGTCCACTCCAAGTCCTTTCCTTCTCATCGAATGTAGCTGTTAGTCCGGACATCATCAACAATGGATTTGATCACTTTTGCAGTAACTAGCAAACTGAACCGTTGGGCCAACTCATCTTGTATTTATAAGACTCCACGCCCTGATCAATATCATTTTATTTTTTAACTATGAGACCATAATAATGATCACCTGCTTATCTATTACACGTGTCTGAAAAGTAACTTTACTGTTCAGATGAGTTCTTCTATTGGAATTCAAAGGTTGCTTCTGGCCCATTTTAGAACACCTTATAAAGATAAACGAATCATATCTTGAAAAGATTTCGTTTTTATCTAATAGCCCTTAGGTCTATATACTTACTATCTACATGAAATTATTTTATTGTTGTGTTAAATTTTTGCCAAATTTGTCGGGCTTTCACAGAAGTAACAATTACAGAGTCGAGAGACACCCACAGACAGTCGGGCCGACATATGTAAAGGGACTTTTCAACAATGCAACAACTTGCCACAGTTGTTGCATGGTCAGAAAGTTGTGAATTGAAATTGAACAAACGCTGTGGCAACATTTTGTCGAGCAAAAAAGAAAGATAGTGAAAATTGTTAGAGAAAAAAGGTGGAAAGTGCAAGAAGGGATGAAATAGGGGCTGCAACTACTTAAATCTGGGGAGCCATTTTTCGCCTGGCTAACAAAAGGCCAAACGGGATTGCACTTGAAAGAAAAATTGTCATTAACGTTTTAAAGTAAAGTAAGGACTACATTTCTTGTTTCTTGATAAAGTAATACCTAATAATATTAAAATATAATATTCTAGTTGAAAAATACATCTTTTTTCTAATGAATCTTATCTTTAACCTCAGATCTACCTTTATTACCTTTAGTTTTCTCTGCATGCACGGCCAGAGTGTTGAGCTTTTCCTGCGAACTTTGCCTTTCCTCTTCCCGGCTGAAAAGTGAAGTTCGGGAGGGGAAAAAGTGGATTGCCCCGTGTGTGCATTTTAGCATTGAGTTCCTGACTCCCTTCCGATTCCCTGATAACTTATCTGGAGGCAGCCGCTATGTCTGTTACAAATGTTGCAATATTTATGCCCACCCACACATATACACACATGGCGTGGGGTGAGGGAAAACCGGATGGGAAGGAAATTCGTATTATGATTTGCACATTATGCAAATTGGCGTTATCGTAAGTATTTCGTTTCATTTTTCTTCTCCGCGAAGAAAAGAGGCCGCCGCCGTCGCCGTGTGCTCATGATAAATGTGATAAGCGATATTAGTTCGAAGGAAAAACAATGCTCGGAAAACACATAAATTAAGGCATTCCATTGTGGGGATTTATGCGTTTAATAACGTAACAATATATTACACACAAATATGGGCTTTTTATAAATAAACAACTTTATTTGGTCTCTTGAAAGGACATCTACTGAGACAAATTTGGAATGAATTACTGGGTTTCCAGATTAGTATTTATACTCTGATTTGGAAGTTTGGATTAATTACAGTTATGTTTATATTATATTAATTAATTACACTTATTGTGTTTTATTATATTATTTAAATTGAATCGTTGTCGCGCCGTATTTGCTCCGCTTGAGCAGGTCTTTACTTTTTCAACTCTTCTCAAACACTCTGTTTCGTTCCTAGTGTTCCCGTTGCTTCTCTCGTCGTTTGCTGCATTTCACTTCTTCGTCTTCATCATCTACGTCGTTTCTACCTTCTTCGCCAGATGGTCACTCGTTGTCGTTTCAAACTTCTCCGTCGTCTTTCACTTCATTCGCCAAGTGATTACTCGTCGCTAGCTTTTAACGATATCTCTTCGTTCCTAGGGACTTTGTATGTTCTTATTAACCATTACCACATGTATTGGGATTATGATAAGGATTAATTTAACATCATTTTAATTACATATATGTATAATGTAAAAAATGTATGTATGTACATATATAGAAAATTCGATCTCCTGACATTTATTAAGAGCCCCTTTAAGCCAAGCCCAATCAAAGCTAATCGGACCCTCGTCGCTGATAATGATGACAACTTAATTTTTCGTTTTAACCACCAATCGAGGCTGTCAAAGTTGGCAATGGCAATGGAAATGGGAATTGATTTATCTGCGATATGTGTACCCGACTCAAAATTGCTGTTAACATATGATGTATGCAAATTGCCAACAATTTGATTTGCCATTCCTTGGCCAAGATAAGTACGAGTATTTCGTCAAGTGGCAATATGCAAATGCCAGTGGAATCTGTAAGTGGTGTGGTGTGGTGTGGTGCTCCAAACTGACAATGACACTCACAATGGGATCCGGGCTCATCTTCTGGCCATTCATTGAATGCAAATGAGTAAATCGGTAAACAGCCAGATATATGCATACATTGTTTATACGCTGGCAGTCTCTTTAGCTCCAAAAAATATGACTCACAAGGAGTTGAAGGAGAAAACTTCCTCGGCAAAGTATGAAATATTTATAAACGCATAAATGCATGACATTCAAAGAGAGGTGAGGTGTGTTGTGGTGACATTTGAAGGATGCACTGTGAAAGCAGCCAGCTGCAAGATCATCAACCCCCCTCCGTCATATCGACGACTTCAAACGAAAACGAAACGTGTTGCCACTTTAACTGCCATTTAAATATATTTATTCATATACAAAACGCAGTGAAACACATGAAAGGCAACTTCTTCCCTGCCATTACCTTG